TTTTGTACTCCTTGCGCACCCCAAATTTAGCCAGCGTACATACCTTGACGCGCATGGCTCAAATTGACCTCCTCTGAGAGCAGTCATGTACTTAATGCATCCCAACAATAATTGGGGGGCTCTTACACACTGAAGCAGGGTATTCTGAAAGCCGAGAATTCAATCCTTTAATCCGTCAAGCTGCCAGAGGTCCCCAAACGTTTTAGAGAGGTTCCAAACCAGATTTCCCGCCCCGTGTCCCTCCCTCTAAAAACATGGTAAGGCTTGTCACCGCTTGTCCGGAGCAATGAAGCGGACTGCAGATCGGCTTACAGCCATGGAGGCAGCACGAGAGAGCAGACCAGTGTCCTCGTCGGATCTTACATGGCGGGGGGGGGGGGGCACAATCAGCAAGGCTCTGTGCTCTTTTAGGGTGGCTTGGTGTCCGCGCACTACTCGTGTCCTTCGTGGAGTACGGCGCATGATCTGGAGGTTGAAGTTAACGGCAACCACTCCATGATAGCGCTCCGAGTTAGGAGGTCTAAGCTAGTGTTCCAACTGAAATGCACTAGGTTGCCAGAAATGTCCGCCCCACGCACGGAGAAATGCAAACCGTAAGAACGGACGCGAAGAGTTGGCGATTCCTGTTGCTCTTGGTCCCCACTTTTGAGCAATGGGCTTTGATGACTGCCATTGGATGCCACTGGACCACTGTGGAAACAGCTATTTGGCGCTTTAGGCCCTTCTTCTCGTTCATGCTGTCTAAGCACGCGGTTGCTTCGCGGTTTCTGTATTCTTGTCTATACTTTGTACCAGCTGTTGGCACAACCTTTTGTGCATGAACGGTGAAGCTCCGCAGCATGCAGGCATCGGCCACTGATGTTGGCAAGTTTGAAACGGTAACTAAGGAGTTTACCGCCACAGCGAACATCATTAGATGTTTGTAGATTTTCCAATACTTTTCCAACTGCTCCCCAGGCGAACAGCCATATACTGGGTCTCGATTTTGCTCCGTGAGCGAACAAGGTTTAGGGCTGACTCCTGTACCTGTGCTGAAAACACGAAAGAAATTCTGTACAACGAAGTGATCGTGTAAACATGTTTTGTTTGCGTTCCCATACGCTGCAAAATTTGAAAAATTGGATCGGTTCTTTCTGGACGCGCTAGGGCAAACACGACGGATCGCCTCAACCCTCTAGGGCATCAGCATCATAAGCGTCATCATCGTCATCGTAACAACCAGGGGGGCGGGCTGCATAACTGAGAGTGATCAGTCATACCCACAAGGTTTGCTGCATGATGCTGCATGATTCTCCTGCTGAATTGTATCAGGGCATTCATTATGTCAAGCCTTGTCAAGCGTCAGGGGGGTCTGACTGGGACCCCAGAAGACTTTCGAGCACATGGAAACAACCCGACTCGCCAATAAAAGCCCGTATATTTAGGTGGTCCTGGTGATATTATAGGCCGTGTCAGGATATCCTTGAAGTGACAACTCCGCCGGATGAGTGGGAGAGCGATGGCCATCCAATGCCGCGCACAGGCCAGCGAAACGGGTCTTGACAGAATGCTTTCGTTTTGTGATGGTCATGGCTCGGATGAGAAGGTTGGTTTCATAGGACTTCGGGGACATGGAGTCGCCCTCACACTCTGCATAGATCTAAGTTCCTGCCGCTGTGTGCAGCCCGTCTTGCAAACTCGGAGGCGCACATCTGTTGTGGCCCGGAATCATGTTGAGAATTCAGGGATCTAAGATTGGATGAGATCCTTTCGAGATCCACAAGGGCAGGGGAAGTGGTACCGGCTAGCCGCATTGATTTTTGTTTTAGTTTGGTGCGGAGGCATGGGCTTAATGATTTTAGTGTTGCGTTGAGAAAGGTGGGCTGCATGTGTCCTGCTAAGCTTGAGAAGACAAATCTCGATTCTACTTAAACACGAGACGTGGCATGAAGAGCAGTAACAAGCGCTTTACCGCTTCTTCTCATGAACCATAGGATATCAACTCCACACCAGGATCTGCCGCTCAGAAGTGATCATGTAATGGGGTACCACCATCACTTTGATTCCTTGAGCAAGCAGAAGCATAGAATGCACATGGCTTCTCGGACTGCGTTATTTGACTACCATGTGCCGAAGGGCGGTTTATTCAGGGGCAGCGACAGGATGCACTTCCAATATTCTTTGTGGCAGGGGAGATAATGAAACGGAAATGGCATCGGTCTTCAGAATTTGCGGTGAAATGGCTTGGGGGAGGAAAGAGCAGTAAGACCTTTTTGGAAAATGCAGGGGCGCTCTAGGTTGTTTTTGATGACTCTCTACTCATTCTGATTCAGAAATCGGAAAGCTCTTTCGTATGTTGCTCACCCAAGTGTTTTCTTGCCGTTTGTCAGAACCTCACTTCTTGTCCAGTATTCACAGGGCCGTCTTCTCTGCCATTTAGAATTAGACTGCCTTGTGAGGGCCTTGTGGTTGGGACAAGAGACGACGTGATTCTGCTTGGAGGTTGTGAATTTTTTGGAAGAAACATCAAACACGAGGGAGACCATGACCCTTGTTTGGGGCTTAAAAAATTGGGAGGGGTATGCAGCACGTTCAAAGGGATGATTGGAGGCAACTATCATTACATATTTGTTGGAAGGGTCCGCATTGGCAATCAAGTGCGATAACACTTCCCTTCTCTCCACTTTTGGATTGGGCAGCTGCTAGTGGAAGCAGCAATTTTCGTGATTTGGGCTAGGGGCCATTAGCGGCGGGAAACGCTTGCAAATGTCACATTGAGAATTGAAGGGGCAGATGTGTTCCTTACAAAAAACGGAGGAGCTTTCTTTTTCCTCATTCAGATTCAGAGGAAGTACGCAAGCTTTCTGATTCATAAAAGCTCATGGTGCGGGCTTGGTTAGCATCAACCGGTAATGATGACAGGTGCGACCTTTGTTAAAACTCTATTGGTTATTTTGGCTGGAGAGTTGAAGGAAGGGGGCGCCAGGGCATGCAAAAACCAACGGAAATGGCTTCCCATTTCACACCTTTGCTGCTTGGGGTCCCAAATGCAGCTGGTGAAATGGGGAACCATCTCCACCAGTGTTGCTTGGGGTGAGGCGCCGAAAGGAATAAACATACCTTTGATCTCCATTACAATAATTCCCTGCACGCACCGTGCGAGAACGAAGCGTGCCAGCTGTATCCAGCTGTGACAAACACATCACATCAGTACAGGCTTGTCTTCAAGATGAAATGTTTCTTATCTTGCTCCAGTCTGCAAACGCCCCTTTTGGTGACATGAAAACGGCCCTCTCCGCGCATCCCGCGAGTCCTCGGACAGATCCAGCGTTTCTTGCCGGTAAGGGTCAGTCAGCCTCAGCTGTGCTTCCCTGAAGCCTCTTGACAAGGAGAAATCCACATGCATTTGCTTTCGGGAGCCACTATCAGACAGTATCAGGCGCAGTGAAGGGTAGGCATGGATGGGTTCCCCATGAGAAGCCCAGAGCTGGGTTGTTCTTGAGGCCCCTCTGTTTCGAACTTCTTTTGCTGGACGCCTTGCCTGGCTAGCGTACCATTCGGGGAAACTACTACCAGAACCATAACATGATAATCTGAGGGAGCTCCGTTCCAGCCCTTGAAAACGTCTCAGAGAAGTCCAGAAGCGGTGTTCCCAATGGCAGCCTGAGGCCCCGAAACCGGCGGCGAAGTGTCGCGGATGGTCCGTTCACCTTGGGCGATGATGTAAGGACTTTAATAAACAGAACATCAGAACCGATCTATGCAGGTGATCACTTGTTATGCTGTGGAAAGGGTAGATGCAGTACTGGCACCGCCAAGCATCGAAATCTGAGATGGGAGTAAGCGAGTGGCCCCAAAGAAGAATGGAAAAACCAAACGTGATTGCTGGCAATACCCTACAGTATTCATGCCCATCATCAAAGTCCTACATGGATGCAAGGAGCCCGGTCAGTCACATACCCCCACTGCTCCGGAGAGAGCTCTGCTCTAAAGCAAATTCGTACGCCAGGGCTCTGGCATGCCACGTGTTCTCACATATTCTAGTATTAGCACGGCCTTGTGGACCTCATGTCTAAGGCATCTGATATGGCTCGGATGCCTTAGGAAGCTGAAAGGATTGAGTGATTGTTGCTGGCTCGGGCCAGAAAACACTAGAGCAGGCTTGACATTCCTGATTCAAGTATGCCATACTGTCATTCCGAGTATGCGCAAATGTCGCTAAAGTCACTTAGGCAGCCCCAACTGAAGCTGTAAACCTTCGCCTTACAAACAACCGAAACTACGAATGTGGTTTTATGGACTTTTCTGCCAAGGCCATCAGCCCTCACCGTCTTCAATACCCTCCATCCAAGAGCAATTTCCAGGAAAACTGCATAGTCACGAACATGAATCCAAGAATCATGCATATCTCAAAAAGAACTCCCTTGGACAACCTTTTGAGTCCTGGCGAAGATGCTTCCACTCAAACTCACCGAATACAAGCTGGGTTACCATCCCACTTCGACTATCCTAAGTGGGTTTCGCCAAACACAAGGAGCATTTTAAGTTCACCTGCGGTATGTTTGCCGAATTTCGCTCTGTCTCTAAGTCCGCCCTGCAGCTCCTGGCATGAAGTCCTACATGGTTCGTGATAAAGTCGACCAAAAACACGAGTCTCTTGCTAGTCTCAACCCTGGAATGCCTTCACGTCCAAAAACATCCTTACAAATTGCGTGGCAGCGCTGCAAGCCCAGCCAAGAGACCAGGTACTGCCTCACGGGCGCCTCGCGCATGAATTTGAAGCCGATTCCCAAGCGGAATTGACCTTGATGCTCATTATTTCAAAATTTACTGCTCTGCTCAGGGCCACTCCGGAGGTTGGTAGCAACCACCAAGAATCAAGTCCCATGAACGTTCCAAGTGGCGCAGGAAGCAGACCAGATATGCATGTGGCAATCCCTTACTGTAATATCATCCATATTTAACCTTGTAGGCCGCCAACGACATACAGCAAAGATGACAAACATCCAGGTCCCAGCGACCTTCTTTCAATGGCTCCTGAAAGAGCCAACGGGCTCAAGTGAGAAGTACGGGATGTATAGGGAACGCATTGGAAATAGGGGGATAATGCGGGTCTGTATAATTGGGGATCAGGACCTTAGGGGCATGAATGCGTTGGGCTCAAAAGGTGGGATGATGGTAGTTGCATGGAGTAGGGGAACATCAGACCATGTATATATAATATAAACATATATATATATATGCATGCAAGGTCCTGCACCCCACCCATCTACCTCGCTCCAACCCTCTGAGTCGCCTCGCGGCTTGTCAACCATTCTGCCCTGTTGAACATAGAACGATGCACACACATGATTCCTAAACAGCTGGTTAAATCCAAATCCGAACCACAGCGTTGGGGACTCTCGCGACTGTCCTTGTCGGAAGCATGTAGCTCGTCCTGGCGGATGACGTTGGCATCACCTGGAGGGTTGGATTGACGTCACCAGTGCCCAGCTTGGAGGCAGGCTAACCTTCAGGAGTAAGACTTCTGAGATACTCACCCCGCCCCTCTCAGATTCTTTAGCCGGTGGCATCACCTATCTCAAGTTCGAAACGTCTAGGCTTCAGCGTCATGGGAGGCAGCGGGTAGAGACTGCCAAGCCATCCAAAGGCATGCAGGAGACCACGAAAAGCCCAGGCAGGCAGCACTTCTTGCATGGTTTTGCCTCGGCTTGACTCTTCTAATGAGAACTCTTGAGATGCCGTAACAAAGAACAGCGTCATAGTGCATTCTGGCCTACGCCCTAGCTTTTGGCAAATGGGGTCATCTACACGTACGCTTTCTCAGAAGAATCAATTTCATCAATTAATTGGATTTTCTTAGTAACACCCAACGTCCAAACGGAGGACCGCACTGCCATCAAATATGGCAGAACGAATATGTCTCTCAACTAATGGGACTTGAACAAGAATTCGCTGCATGGTTTGGCTGAAGGTGAACTGAAGGAGTCCTGCAAGGCCGGTTGAACGTTTCCCAAGCAGCGGGTCATCTCGTGAATCTTAAGTTAGAGGCTAGACCCGTGAAGCTAGCTACCTACCCAGCAGTAACATATGGGGATCTCCAGAATCCCTTTAGGGGTACTCATTAAAAAGATGGTTCTAGTGATTGTGTTATAGGGTCTTAAATGGGGCCACAATGAAACTATACGGCCTATGCAAAAATGACATTGTCTACGGTTCTTTCGCCGCTTGACATGTCATTCAAAATTCAGAAAACTTTAGAATCTGGCCTAGACCGGAATCCCTGCTTCCCCGTCTGAGCTTTCCAAACACAGCTGGAACTCCATTTCATGACCTGCCCTTGCTGTATGCTTGATCTCCCAACCCATGTTTCAAAAAGAGGCCCATCGGCCCTAAGCCTGCGCGTTGATCCCTTGATCCCTATTGCTGTTGTGTAAGCTTCATGTTCAGGCCCTGGAAACAAATTCTGAAGGAAACTCAGGGTTGCCAAGGTTGACCGCCTTTTGCAACCACCACGTTGATGCTGCGCAGCAGAGTGTTCCCAAAGCATTTGCTAGATCATTCTGCCACTCAAATAGAACAGGCCATTTCCGCAGAGGAATGCGATGAACGAAGGCCGGACACGCTGATGACTTGCCAGCAAAAAGAAAAGGAGGCCCATGGGGTAATCCTAGGGCACCGCAAGAATAGAGTTCTTGGTTGTCTTCCTTCGTGAGCACGTCGATGCCGTAAGCCATGTCCTTGTGATCCAAGAGAAACCTGGATCATGGCCGGCACGGTCTCGGGTTTTCTTGTGTTGACATTTCTTTCTTTCTATGGCCCGCGGCATGTCATGGCTGAACAGCCCAAAGTGATCTTGTGAAGAGCGCAGCCGCGCCATAACGCAATGACAGAACAGCAACCTTGTTCCTGACAATGTTTCACGGTGGAGTTTTAGCGCGCGGAAGATGTGAGTGAGCCTTCATCGCCTTCTTCAGACCACACCAATGCGAATTTTGCCGAATAGTTCAGCGACGTTCTACTGTTCCCAGGTGTACTTAATTGGTAGGCGAGTTGGATCCCCGATGGGCTTTTTATGGTTCCCATCTGGCCCCGTGCAGCACTTAAAGTTTGAGCCTCTGAATGCCCTTCAAACAGCCTCACCTAAAAAGAGAGAGTCCCAATTGAAACCGGGCACACTAACCTGACCCTGGCAAGTCCAACATCATTACTAGCATTCACGTTTGTAGTAAGCAACGTGTTCCAGAGTTCGTTTACGCAAACAACTGGCAAGTTCTCAAACAGAAGTCATCGGAAAAGGAACTACTTGGAAGTTCTTGGAAATTGGTATCTGTTTCTAGTTGGATTGAAATTCTGATGCCACTTCTGCTTGGGATATCCACGGGACTGTCAGCTTAGGGCTTCACAAGGAAGCTCGAATCCCAACCTTCGCATAGATGCGCTACACAACCGCCACAAATGATCCATGAATTTCTACTGTACCGATATGTAGTTTCCATTAACATTGCTCCCTGCCAGCCCCCATACCCATACATTCCCTCGACTATTCCTCATGACTTATTACCTTCAATTCAGTTGAACTTTCGGTAGGCCCAAAAGATCCGACTTACTGCTATCTACTGTACATCTTTAGACTTACTATCGCCTTGTCGAAAACCATCATCAAGATGCAGAACAAATGAGGATTGTAGCATTCCCCCCCAACAACCGCCCAGTAACCATAGATTGAAGCCGTCAGTGCGGCCCGTCATCCAAAAGGCCGGGTCTGTGTGCATGATGGGCGCAGGAAAGGAGCCTGGTCATAACCATACCAACGCCGATGACAGTGGTAAAGATGGGATGACCCACCGCGCAGCAGAACCAGCACCACCAGCACTAGCAGGAGTAGCAGCAGCCGCTACTGCGGCAGAGGCAACAGCAGCGACAGCAGCACCAGCACCACTAGCAGAAACATAACTCAGTACGACCGCCTTAATGAATTGTAACGCTTAGTTATAAGGCTGACGCAAATTGCGTTGAGAGTCCATGCCGGCTAACACGATTATTGTGAGATTCGCGTACCTTGTCCAGAAATCATGCAAGGATCACAATGGCGATTCTGGCAATGGCAAGGGCTATTGCGTGTTCAGGCCCATGCGTGTGCAGGCCGACCGGAATTGTTCTCTTCGGTGATACGGATATTTGGGGCCCCAAGCAAACTAGAGGAACAAAAAAGACATGCGGTGCGGATGCTTGCACCCATGATCCTAGTACAGACCTGCAATGTTGGGGTGTCCCCTAATTTCAGGCTCAGTACCCCCCCATTCAGGACCGTTCGAAGGATGATTCTTGACCGACCATTCACAAGAAGAAGGCTGAGCTCGTCTGCGACGTTTCATACAAACGTTGTAAGCATACGAGTAATTATTGTATGACAACCGTGCCGAATTGTATCCGGGCAAAATGCTGTTTACATTGGATCGAACTGGAATAGTGAAGATGTGCTTGCGCTTACCGGAAAACGCTGAGCTGGCAGATTACCACTTGATTTTATGAGAGGTTTGTGACTTGTTAACCTAATCGACTGCAACTGCTATTTGCAGCGACAGCTACACTGCCTCCTTGTCAGATAACGCACGGTCCCTCAACTGCTGTCTTCGGGCCTGGGGCGCGATAGGACCAGAAATCATGCACGATGAGGTATCCAGGTCCAAACCGCTTCTGCACCTCTTTGCTTTCAATGTTTTTAGGGTTGCGGCTATAGTATAGACCCTGCTGGGGGTTCCTAAAAGCGTTCTCAGCAGCATTCTTACGAAGATTGGCATTTGAGGTTTGGCTAGTTTGCCACTTGCTTAATATGAAACTAGGGTCCCCTGACGTAAACCGACTCTGCTCAGCGTCCTCATGAGATCCCAAAATTAAGCCAACCCGGGAAGATAACTATGTACACCACCTTTTGCGGTGAGGTCGAGTGAGATCGTCAGATCTAGGGCTTCGATTCGATCAAGCTTTCTGTTGGGGGGGTGGGGCCAGGGGAGGGGGCTGCGGGTGGCTAGGTCCGTTCCGACTATCGATGCCTGAGAAAAGAGTAGGCTTTTGGAGGTGTTATCATTATATAACATCAGCATGCAAGATGATGTCAGGAAAGGGGTGTATGAGCCCACATGAGTTTCCAACACTTATCGAGAGCCCGCCGGAAGCCCGTTTGGAAGAACTGAAGCCTGAGTTTCGAAGGAAGACGGACCCCTACTGAGGCCCTCTGCGACAACACAGGCACTTATCAGGGTTCGCTGTCAAGGATTCCCTAAGCTCAACTGCTCCTCATGGTGCCTTCAAGCCCTAGTCCCCAAAAGGCCATGTGAGGTATAGCCAAGTATCGGGCCTGCAGTTCCAATGTTCATATTACTTCGGCAGCTACTCAGCTAGCACGCCAATTCAAAAAAACACCGAAAAAATCTAAAACATGGAAAAGTCCCGAAACGTACTGAGAAGTCGTCTAAAATTTCTGAAAAAAATCGGAAGAGCACCGAAAAGCAAAAAAAACACACCGGAAATTCCTGAAGACCGATATCCGAAAAGTGCAAACGTCGGAATGGAGTCCGAAAATCTCGAAAAGCTTTAAACGTCGAACAAATTCCGAAATTCCAAAAAAGTTGAAAATTGAAATTCCCAAAAAAATCGAAAAGTCAGAAAGAATCCAGACAGCCTCGACAAGCACTGAAATTCAAAGTCGAAACATCACGAAAAAAGTTGGCCAGTCCCGAATACTCCACCCAGAACGGGAAACACTGACAAATCTGGCAGACTGAAAAAATCGAAGCCCAGACGCGAGCTTAGGGGCTTAACGTTAAACAGGCTTGAAGAGAGTAGCTGGCCGTTGTCGGGATGCGAAGCACTGTCAAAATAATGAATCTCATGAATGGAAAGGCAAAACATTTGACTTGCTTCTTGGCCTGCGCATGCAAACCCGGGATGAGCTCATGGCCCGCATACCACTCCCGAATACCACTGCCACCGCCGCCTACTACTACTACTACTCCTACTCCTCCTCCTCCTCCTACTACTACTACTACTATTACTACTACTACTACTACTACTACTACTACTCTCTCTCTCTCTCGAACGCGAAAGTCAGAAGACTCCCTGGCGTGCCGGCGAGCTTAGCCCGGCTGCTTGTAGCAGCACCTCACTAGTGGAGGTCCGCAAGTCCGTCCCGAAGGACCAAGCGACTTAAATCCTCAAGACAAAAGAGGGCCCGTGCCGATAGCAAACAGCAGCCCAACTTCATCAAGAGGAAAAATAATAATTGAAAAATGGTAAAATCAAGGTGATTACAAAGGCAGAAAGGGAAACGCAGATATTTACACCCATGACCCCGTCGCGACAGAGGAAACGACGTCTCGCAGCCTCATATGCACTGAACATTGCCCGTAGCAGAGCCCGACAGCCACGGAATGCCCTGCGTCCAGCAGCAATTCCGCATGTTCAGCACAATGGTCGTAGGTCACGCTATGCACAACTATATACATTATGTACAGCAGCAAGCTGAGAAAAACACGACAAAGGAACTTCGAGTACCTGTCCGCACTGGAATGCAGACATCTGGCATGGAATTAGCAGCGATCAATGCTCAGCACAGGCTTTTGTGACACAGCTTCCCCAGCTATCTGTCCATAATTAGCCTGAATCCGAGTGCTTCCAACAGCAACTTGTCATCAGACGAAAGCAAATGAGCGGCTCGAATGTGGTATGCCACAAGAATGAGTCTAGTGCCACACCAAGGCATTGTACAGTGCAAAAGCTTCGGCTGGAAGGTGATCTACGGCCTGTCAATTTCAAGGAGCCGACCATTGACCCCATTAATCATGACATCACCTCCTCCCGACTCGCACCATAGTTGGCCTTTACTGAACGTGCTCAAAAGGAATCACCATGTTCACGGAATGCTGGTGGTTGTTACAATCACGATGAGGCCCAGAGCGCGTGTTCAAGAGCATGCTGATGGAGCTATAGAAATGATCCGGATTAATACTCTTCACCAGCGAGGCAAGGAGAAGCGTCACGGCCCGAAACTGCCTGACATGAAGCATGAGCCCAACAGACGAGGAATAAACAAAAGCTCCAGTATTGAAGGCCCCAGACAAAAGATCAGAGGCTGTGGCTCCGTCGTCCTGAAAAGGCCGCATAGTCAACGGAAGAAGCTCCAGAAGTCTGAGGAGATTTGCTTCAGTAGTCCATTGCTGCTTCAACATCTCAACAGCAAAAGCTTCGGCTTCACTGCGCTGTGGATGCTGCTCCGGGATGTCACGCAAGTTTACTGCGAGATTAAATCCAGATTCAGCCATTGGGGCTATGCTTGGAGATGGGGAGTAACCTCTGAGGCTGTCACCAATTGGAGACGCGTCCATGAAAACATCAGAATCTGCATCATCTGACTCCGAACTCTCCCAGCAAAACGACGGCTCAGAGATGTCCAAAGCAGCTGCTCTCGGATGACAGACACCAAGTATCGAAGGCGCCTCTAGCTCAAGCAGAGCCAGCCACTCTGACTCAGTCATGCTATGTAAGGCTGCAAGCCGCTGAGCCACAAACATCATGTGATGATAATGTTTAGAATTTGCCACCAAGCACTGAACTCAAGCCGATGCCCATCAAGCTGTGAGAGCAAGAACAGAGCAGCATTGCACGGGGCACTGAGCATCAAAGCCACGAAGAAAAACCTGAGCTCCCACCAGGCACTGATGCAATGTTCAGGAGTTGAAGCTGTAGGCATCCACCAGCATCCATTTCTTGCGCGACTTCACAGGCTACTTCGGCAGCTCATGCGCTTCGGCAGTCTGCAAGGTACAAAACCAGCAGCGATTGCTTTGTCCAGAAAACTAGCCTAGGTGCTTCGACACCTGCACAGCAAGATTGGACCTCTGTGCGCGATCCTTTTTGAGGGAGCATCCGCACAGCCGCATAGCGCTGGAATGGCAGAGAGCAGCAAAGTGTCCACAAAGTGTCTTGGCCGCATCGCTTGTGGAACCCGTTTGCAAGAGAAAGACCAAATTGTCTCCCGTCATCGCGTCCCCCATGGGGCGGATTGGGTGGAACCTCGCCAAAGCATGATCGTGGACGCAGAGCTCGGCAACAGCCTTCAGATGCTTGACTAAAGTATCTGTATGAAGACCGGGCTTATCCTCTTCAGGAATGAGTAGCTTCGATTCAGCATGATATGACAAGAAGGGCCAAAAATGTCCATCCTCGAGATCCACTTGTTGGAGGTAAACTCCTGTAGCGCTGCCGAATCTTGTGGAAGCTTCTCCACTCGGTTGAGGATTTCTCGAAATAGACACAACACCAGCGTTGTGCGCATACTCTTGTCCAGCTTTTCCGGGGAGGTCTTCTTCAGCTCTCTCCATGTGGTCTGAACACGGAAAAGTTGGGGCACGATTCCAGCCTCTATGCCGAGCTTCGCGTGAATCACATACGAGACCTCACACCTAGTAAGGTTAACCGCATCTTCATGACGCAGTGTCAGATTCGTGAGAAGATTCACCTGCTGCTCAAGAGCTGTGATGCGCTTGCTGTTGTTTCCACCTCCCTCGTTTTGTCCCCAGCTCCAAGTGTCCCACTTAGAGTCACCAGCTCGGTCCCGCTTCTGGTCGCGTTGGTCGCGCCCCTTGCCTCCGCCTCTGCCTTGTCCACCATTCTCATTCGGACGACTGTACTTCTGAGCTGAGCCATCAGTATCCGCAGGTGGGGCATCGGGTTTTGCCTCAGGGATCATCATAGCAAAGAATTCCATCTCCTGCTTCTGAACAGGGTCCATGGTTTCGGACATAACTTCGCCCTTGAGCTCGTGCCAGCTATGCTTGAGCAATAGGAACTAGCAGCAACACATAAACATCACGTTGGTGTCTCTCCGATAAGTGAACTGCTTGAGCAGGCACGCCATCATCTGAGAACCCCCACGTATTCTCGGGCCGAAGCAGAGATCTGTAGTGTCCGGATGTGGGCATGTGACCTTGGTGCACAATCGCTGCTTGCACCATGTATAGCCGAAGCTCCTGCTCAATGCCATCAACAAAGACGGGTACCTCAGCTGCCTGATCAAACTCAACCGGCACTGTGTTCTTGCGGCCCAGTGCATACCTTCCAAGCTGAATCACAACTGAACGTCTCTCCTCAGCGACCCCGCTGATTACATGTTGCTGGGCCCATCGCCGAAGCAAAGTGGAAAGAGTAACATGGGCTTCCTCCAGCAACGGAACAAATAGCATGCGACCGCCATAGTCAGTGATCCTCACGGCGCCTTCCTCCTGTCTTCTTGACTCCCAACGAGACCACGTTGAGGAGGACACCTGTATGAAGTTCAGAAGCAACTCAGCAGCATCCTTCTGCTCTGCATTGAAAATCCATCTAGGAACAGAGCTTCTCACGACAAGCTGAGAGTGAAGCATGAGCGCTGTACCACCATCCGAAGCCTGCTTGCAAAGCACACAGAGCGGTCTAAGATCATCCGAGCCAACCATATGTAGGACATGCGTCATGGCTGTGACAGAGGAGTTGGAGTAGCACAGCTGATGAGGATTCAGAAGCTGAAGCCTGAAGGTCCACGGCAATGTGGCAACAGGAATTGCTAACGCATCTGCTCCTGACGCTCTGCGGGATTGTGTAGCAAATCTACAAATAGTCGTCTGTGTGCTCTTGCCTGAAAGCCCAGTGCGGCCGGATGCAGGGGT